GTATTATATTTATTTTTTTATTAGCTTAAGTTATGTATTTATATGTTTTAAATCTGAATAAACATTATATATATATATATATATATATATTTCAAAATTATAATTTTCTATTAAATTTAGTTAGTTAACTAATTATAAATGTATATATAGGAATAAAATATATATAAGAATAAAACAATACATTTTTAGTACATTCATGCTAATGGCGAATGTAATCTATTTTCTCCAATAAATTGCCACTTGATCTTCCTTTGTAATTATATAAAGCAAAATTACATTAAAAAAAGATTTATTAATTAATATGATTATTTTGAATTATAAAATTTATTTATTTATCAAATATTTTATTATAAACATATGTTTCTAAAACTACCAAACTATAATCAATAACATTCATATCAAAACCATTGCTATTGCTTTAGAACTAAATAGAAAATTATGTTTGAACTCTTAAAATATTATTTTAGTTAAAGTTAAATAATTAAATTTTGGTTACTGTAAACATACTTTAACTTGAAAATTTAGCACAGAGAAATTTCATCTTTTCACAAAAATCGAGAAATCGCATTTCCCGCCAAAACAAAAAAATTTCATTTTCCCATTAAACTGAGAAATCGCCTATTCCTGCCAAAACCAAAAAAATCATTTTCTCGTCAAACTTAAAACCTAAAATTTCATTTTCCCGCTAGAACCTGTGTTTTTCCACCAAAGCCGAGAAATTACGTTTTTTTCACAAAAACCAAAAAATTCATCTTCCATCAAAAATAAAAAAAAAATTGTGTATTCCCGCCAAAATCGAAAAATATATTTTTCCTGCTAAAACTGAGAAATCGTCTATTCCTGCCAAAAGAAAAAAAAAATCATTTTCTCGTCAAGCCCAGAATCACGTTTTCCTACAAAAACAAATAAACTACAATTTTCCGCGAAATCCAAAAATTGCATTATCTCCTGTGAAATTGTGTTTTCCCGCGAAAACTAAGAAATAGTTATGTTTTTATCGATTCAAATTTTTGCTGATGTGTGAGCTTCTTATAACATAAGACTTTTTGCGTTGTTGTCATGGAAGCATAGTTGATGCTGAGCCGTCACTTGTTCAATCATATACGTCCATGTCAAACAAACAAATAGCTAGAATGTTTTTTATTATTTATTTGTTGTTATTTATTATTTGGATTTGGTTTTGGCAAAAAAAAATAATGATTTAATTTTTTTATTTGTTTTTATTTATTATTTGGGTTTGGATTTGACAAAAATAAAATAATGATTTTTTATTTGCTGTTATTAATTATTTGGGCTTAGGTTTGGTAAAAAAAAAAAACAAAAATTAATAGAAAAATATTTGGATTTTTAACGAGTTTAAGTTTAAAAATTAAAATAAATATATGAAATGTATTAATAAAATATTTTGATTAGTGATTATTTTTGCTGAGGTGTCATGTTTATAAAATTTAAAAAAGCTGAGGTTATTATTGTGTTGATTATCCTTAAACGATTTGTTGTAGATATATCTCATTTTCGGTATTTAATATTTTGTAGCTATTGATGATGAACTTTTAAACCTTACACACCACACAACAAAACCAAAGTTTCACATTCCACATCGAACCCAAAATTTATGTTGTATAGCGTGTACAATGGGTTTGAATGGTATGCAGCTTTTTCACGTTTTTACGTTTTGGAAACTTGATTCTGTTATTTTTTACCATTCATGTTATTCATCACGTTTTCACGTTTTCACGTTTTTTTATGTTTTTGAAACGTGATTCCGCTAGCGTGTTAAAAATATAACTAAAAAAAACAAAACGTGATTAATCTACTAAAAATAGCTTTTCAACGTTTCACAATTATTCAGCTAAAATATTATTCAGTTCAGTTCATTCCGCTAGTAATTTTTCAGTTATTCTGCTATTCTGTTATTCATCTGACATACCAGTCAGACCCAATGTATACCATACTACTTTTAAAAATCTCCTTTTTGAACCAAATTCTGATAAGAACCAAAATCACAAATGTCGTTATCTAAATGATATTCAACGCGGTCTCAAACTACTTAGCATTTATGGGTCTTCTGCAATTTTATGGTTTAGTTTGGTTCACTAAACCATAACAAGTACAGCAACTGTCTTGCTGTAACATAAACAAAGACAGAACAATCAAAACAAAACAAAACAAGAAAAATTATAAGACCCCATTGATCATGAACTGTCAAAAGACAAAACCTTTTGAGTAGATTTCTTGTCAGTTTGTTTCAAGATTCATTTATATGAAATATCATAAGAAGTTTCATAGAGACAGAGAGACAACTTTGGGATTTTTCATGACTTGTAAAGAAAAGCAATGTCATTAAAAAGTATCCATGTGGTTGTCTCATTAACAAAAGAACATACACTGAAACAATCACCACAAATTTTTTAACTCAATCTTTAAATGTGTATAAAAGAAAGAAAGTCAATGAAACTCCGTAAAATCTTATCTTCAGACACACACAAAAAAAACAAATTTTTTAACTCAATCTTTAAATGTGTATAAAAGAAAGAAAGTCAATGTAACTCCGTAAAATCTTATCTTCAGACACACACACAAAAAAAAAAATTTGTTTGACTGAACAGCTAGGAAATTCAACTCAATTGACTAGGATGATACAATCTTGATTTATCAAGAACCACACATAGAAGAAAGAGCAAGTTCTTGGCTTTAAGAGAGAGAGAGAGGTGACATATGCATATGGCACACCACATGTAATGCTTACCCTACAAACTCAAATGCTCAACCAAAGAAAAGGGTTTTTATATTATGCACATGAGTGTACCATACCTTAACCCCACGTCCATGAATTAGGGTTAATAAGGAAATGAATCTAGACCGTCCATAAAGATCAATGAAAGTATCTTTTGGTTGAAAGATGAAAGTGTCCCACGAATGTCCCCAAAATGATGGGACACACTTTGCCTCAAAGTTGCTGCTACTGTTTACTACCCGACAGCTTTAGCTTTTGCCTTTGTCCTTAATTCAAGTTAAACCCCTTTTTTCTAAATAATAAAAAAAAAAAAGCAACTTTCAATTCCTATAAAACACTCTTCTTCACAAAGCCTCATGTTATCAAACAAGTCTTTCTCTCTCTACATACACACATAAGAACAAAGTTTCTTTCTTTGAAGATCAATCTAATAAATGGAAAAGGTTGGTGTTTGTGATGATTTTGTTAACCTAAAGGCAACAGAGCTGAGATTGGGATTACCAGGAACAGAAGATGGATGTGAAGAGGAGAAAGAAAAGATTACTTGCGGTAAAAGTAACAAAAGAGCATTACCTGAAACAGAGAAAGAGATTGAATCTACGGGAAAAACCGAAACCGCTTCTCCTCCAAAGTAAGTGTTTTGAATCAAAAGTGTGTCTGAAAAAGTGTACTGATGATTGTAGATCTGATCTAATCTTTTGCAATTTCTTGATTTGCAGGGCTCAGATTATTGGATGGCCACCGGTTAGATCTTACAGGAAGAACAGCTTTCAGACAAAGAAGAATGAATCTGAAGGTCAAGGAATGTATGTGAAAGTAAGTATGGATGGTGCTCCATATCTGAGGAAGATAGATCTAACGGTGTATAAACAATATCTAGAGTTGATGAAATCACTTGAAAACATGTTCAAATTCTCTGTGGGAGAGTATTTTGAGAGAGAAGGATACAAAGGCTCAGACTTTGTGCCTACTTATGAAGACAAGGATGGTGATTGGATGCTTGTTGGAGATGTTCCTTGGGAGTAAGTTACAAAACTTGATTCATCTCTCAAATCAATAGCATAAACACAAAGTTTGTTTTATGTATTTATATTTTTTTTTGTTTTGTTGTTGTTACAGGATGTTTGTATCGTCTTGTAAGAGGCTAAGGATCATGAAAGGATCAGAAGTTAAAGGTTTAGGTTGTGGTGTTTGAGAAAAAAGCTAAAAGAGACAAAAGATCAAAGAGAAGATTCAAAAACAGAGTTTTTAGTTTTCTCTGTTTTTGAAGAGAATTAAAAAAGCTCTGGAACTGCTTGGGTTTTCGGGGAGAGATGTTTTCATACAAACATAATTGTGATTTTTTTACCTCGTCGGTGAAAAAAATATTCACTTTTCTTAACAGAGAGATGCTTAAAATGGTCTTAAGCATATAAGTGTGGGAAAGATCTAAATCTAAACTTTAGCTGTAACTCTGTTTCTCTTCTCCATTAAGGGGAAATTTTGTGCGCTATTGAAAAGATCTAATCTAAAACATTATGTTTGTTTTTTTGTTGTGTGTTCTCATCGAACAAATTTAATTTTTCTGTTATGCTTCTCTTCTACTTTCTTCAAAAGTCTGTGTTTAACAAATTTTGAAAAAATGCATCAACAAACCAAGAACTCATATTAAGAATTAATCATATAGCACATGTCACTAATCATCAATTCATCAAACCAAGGTCTAATATTAAGATTAGACCCTATTTAAGTCAATCAATGGGTTTTGATCGGATCAAGCTATAACCTAACTTTCAAATGAGCACAACTAAGACAATTCAATAAACCAAATCTGGTTTATGGCAGAAATAAAATAAATAAATAAATCCAGCTTTTAAGCAAGTTTTCTTGGATTCTAGTTTCTTTTAACTCAGATTAAGAGAGAAAGAGATTAAACAAATGAGAAATCTAATTGAGCAGTGAGAATAATTTTTGGGACTTTGTAAATGTTTATATTATCTTTTGTATACTTTGATTCCTACTGATACTTTGGTCCCCCACACCTTAAACAAGTAAATCTACCAACTGTGCTAATTTGTCTCCACTATCAATTAAAATAATCTAAAAAAATAATGAATATGAAACTGATAAATTCTGAGAAACTTGGAATCAGAGTCTTTTTTTGAATAGGTTCATTGAATTAGGGATTCTTGAGGAAAGCTTCCCTTTGTGCTCCAATAATTTACTAGGTTTTTACATTTTAACCTAATGTTTTCACTATTATCAAGAAACTGATATCATAATGTTTTTGGTGCAAGATGATATCAAACTTTACTGTAAACTCCACAACAGATCTGTGGATTCAAGGCAAAGATCGATTTGAGACTCTTGATGATATTCTATATATCTAAAAAAGGAAAATTATAATCTTTTCGTTTTTGTTTTTGTTTTGGAACAACTATAAATCAGAGAAAGTTAAGAATAGTATAATCTTTTTGCTCATCAGTTTCTGACTCTAACAAAGTTAGCTCTTGACCAGTTTGGTCGCTGCTACTACCACCAGAGATACTCACAATTGGTTCAGACTGAGAAGTAAACCCTTCTTCTTCATCATTAACCTGTGATCTCTTTTGATCCGGAATCAACACAATCGACCGGCTTGTGATTATCGGTTTAGCTCGGTTAACATCTTCACGTTCTGTCTTCTCCGGTGGTAAAACGTAAGACAAACCGTATTTCTGAGCATGAGTTAGTCCTGGACATAAACCCTACAAAACCCACAACACAAGAAGCTGACTTTGATGCATTTGTTGTAACTTGTAAAGAATCCGAAAGAAAGAAACAATCTTTCTTTTTTCAATACTGACCTTAATCAAACCGGTAACTGGAAAAGACTCGTGGTAAGGATAAATGTTACTGTGAGTCCCAAGCTCGATTCCAGGGACTAGATCATCTTCTTCTTGCTCAGTCTTCGTGGCATTGCGTGGACAATATCCGCCAAAGTAAGAGCAATGCTCTCGAGCTAGAGATATTTGCGGTATTAATGGTAATAGATGACCTTCAGTGCTAAAGATGTACCTGAAGATTGAGTAAACAAGATTAGTGAAATGCTGTAGTATTAAGAGATTAATGAGGGGGTTCAGTTACTTGTAAGGGCCATTGTCGACGAGGTTATCTGAGTCAACAGCTAAATCAAAGAGTAGCCATAAGTATTTAACCTGTGAAATGCAAAAAAAAAAACAAGTTGAGGCTTTAAGGTAAGTAAAATGCAAATTGAGAAACAGAGTTTTTAATTATTGCTTACGGTTTCAGCGAGGAAGAAGCTCTCCATGTGATCTATTTGTTTATGAAGTTCTACATCTGTGATGTGACAATAACCACAAGGACATTTTGCACCGTATTGCAAACTAGCCACAAAGTCACGTCCTGCATCAAGATACCTGTTTGAAAAACAAGAATGTAATGTCTTTGAACTTCTCTGTATCCACTTTTGAAAACAACCTTCATTAAGAACTAAAAAAAGCTTAACTAATTAAATTGGCTACCTAGGATCTCTTGTAGCTTTGTATAGCCAATATGTGCTTTCGATTAGTTCCGGCCTCAGTGGATAACTCTTTTGACCATACTGTTGATGGAAAATGAAGTTGTAACATCACAGAACGAAAAGCGATCACTGAGACACTTAAAGTCAAGATGGAGTACCTGAACACTAAGTGTAGCAAGATTAAAACCTTCAGGAGTGAAACCATATCGTTTCCAGACGCTAAAGAAGGCGGTGTGAGTTCTAATCGCCGGATCAACATCTCCAGCTAAAACCTTTCGAGGGAGAAACATAGATACACAAAAACAGAGTAGTTTTTAGTTTCCGGGGATATAAATATTAACAGTTTTTTATAACATTGAATCAGTTTTACTTTTACCTGAAGTCCTGGCCAGAAAGCTTGAAGGCTGTTGAAAACTGGCCAGACAATAGCTCCAGAATCCATATTGACCTCTACATACCTACGACAAAACTAGAAAAAACAATAGTCCAAACAAAGGAATTGCCTTTTTTCATGTATCTAACCAAAATAGAATCTATGAAAAGCTTACCAAGGATCCTTGTGCAGGTACCGCATTGCAGAACCGTAAGCTTCTTGAAAAATGTATAAATATTCCTCATCGCCAAATAGTATATAAGCCTGTGATTTTCAACTCAAATCAAATAACAGCGAGGAAAATCTCAGCGCGGCTCAAGTTTTATGCAGGTTGGAGAACATTATCTAAAATTATGGGCTACGCTTACTAACCTTGAGGAGATACTCATAGAAGGAATCAATGCTTGTTCCTATACCAGCATCCTGCCAAGTAGACACTACGATTCAGAATTTGGGTGACAAACAAAATTGAACAATTATAGATCTAAATGAAATGATGAAGATCTTTAAGTTGTTAGCTGAAGTATGCCAAAAACCGTAGTTCTTGTAACATGTAACGGAGCCTTTTTTTTGTCACTTCATGTTATGATAAATAGAGGTTACCTTCTGTGTCCATTCACCTGTAAAGACATTGATGTGAGCACCAACCAAGTCGAGACTTGAGCGACGTGCCCATAGTCCCCTCACTGCGTTCTTTGCAACTTGTTCGAAAACTTCAAGTTTGACAAAGTTGAATCACCAAGTAAGAGCAAGCCAAAAACAAAACAAACTATAAGAAACAACATTACATCTTGCTAGGAGAATAAAGAGAGCTAAAGAGAAGTATTTCTCAGTAGTGGCTAAACTGATTTCTGATTAGAAATGAAATACCAAAGCTCCATAGCTTCTTCACTCACCAGGATCATTTGTTAACCGACTAAGCACGCCAAACTCTAAAGTCAAAGTACCACCACCCGCAGTTGATGTTATCTGAACAAACAAAACAAAGATGTAACTTTGTAAAAACATGAGTTCCACTCTTTAACTCGTTAAGCAAACAAAGTTTCATTTGTTCAGCCGCGTCACTAAAAGCACAGATCAATGAATACGTAAGAAGGAACAAGAAGATGTTTTTGCCTTGCTTTCATGTTTGTCAACACCGTACATCAAATTCACAGATCCATATGGGATTCCTACAGAGAGAAAAAAAGAGAATAAGGAGATGAAATCATGACAAAGCAATTCTCCGCTTTCACATATTCATATGCACGCAAGCTTATCAGCACGTGATAGCTAAAAAGAGCATACCAGTCGGTGTATCAAATGCAGGAAGCATTCTCCGAGTCAAATCCTCAGCCAAGACTAGTAACTCATTGTCATACGATGGAATTCTCATGCCCTGAAACATCAGATATGATTCAATTCAATCTCTCATGTCAAACAATCAAAACCACTTTCATTAAAGAGAGTTTTTATAAAGACCAACATAAACGTTTAAGACAAGCTACACAATTAGCTACATTTGCTTTCTAGCTGAAGAATGTACAAATATCCTCGTACAAGATGAAAACACGACGAAAGAAATAGCTTAAGCAGAAGAGAAAAGTACCGTTGCATAATCACTTGCAATCAGATGAGCAGAAAGTAAACCCCCAAGGACTCGGATAGTTGTTTCGAAAAGAGAGACAGTCTTGTTCTGCAGTTACAAAAAGAAGCTTAGTATTAGTGCATCAATTTTACAGCCAGGTTTATGACTTGCAAAGAAAGCTGAAAGGAAAAGTTGAGAAAATAACAATAACAAAAAAAATTGGTCTTGCTAGAGAAACCAAAACGTATCATTACTCACTATATTAAACTGAAGGTTTTTACCAATCCATTCAACAGAAGAAGTGAAGCGCTCTTTGTCACCAAGTAAAGCTAATGTATCCAACGAGTCAATCTACACAAGAACAAACACACATATCTTTCAGTTTTTTTTACATTTACAATTGTAGATAACGAGGAGCCTTGCGCAATAGAAGATCAAAATATTATTTTTATTTACCAGAGTCAACGCATAGCCTCCAAGAGTATCTTCTCCTTGGCAGGACATCGGTTTCAACTCATCGAGTGGGAACGCATTGTTCATATATCCATCAAAAGCATGATAGAACATCTCGCGTACCTACACTCAAATGTGATAAAAACCAAACCCATCTTTTAACAAAATGAAAACAGAAAATGCAGAAGGCAATAAAATTTAGGTACTTATCAAACAAGAAGGAGAAGCTCTATATCAAAGAAGTGATCTCACCTAGTTTATTGTGCAAAACTATTAAAAAGCCATTCTCAAAAGTCTAAAGAAGTTACCTTTATAGATCATTTAACTTCCAAAATCAAGACTTTCAAGTCCCAGAAAACTAAATTGCTCTATAGCGAAGAAATGGCTACACGCTACAATCTTCACCACCAAACCAGGTGATCTCAGCTAGTTTATTGTGCATAACTACAAAAATGCCATCCTCAAAAACCTAAATAACTTACCTTTAGATCATTAGAACTTCCAAAATCAAGACTTCAAGTCCCATAAAACTAAACTTCTCTGATACTCAATTTGGGGACAACGCTAAAATCTACTTAAAAACCAATTGATGTCGAAAATATACGAACACTAAAATGCCATTGTCAAAAGGCTAAAGAACATACATTTAGATCATTAAAACTTCCAAAATCAAGACTTTAATCTCTACAAAACTAAGTTGTTCTAATACTCAATTTGGGGAACAACACTAAATCTACTAATAAATCCAATAGATGCCAAAGAAATATGAAGATTTTAGATACGCATCATCAGAATAGAGTGATGAAGAGCAAACAGAGAGCTGAGGAAAGACCAGATCTGTTGAGGAAGTTACCTCGTCTCTAAGCTGTTTAGCTTCATCAGGCTTAACACCTTCAGCGACAACTCGATGATTAAGAACAAAACCCAAAAACGTCAGAGAGATCAAAATGGCATACAAAAGCCACCTGAAGTTTGATTCCATCAAAAATCGTCTCGTTTTTTTTTTCCCTTCTCTTCACTCCTCAATAGGAACTGTATAACTAAATCAGCTTCCTGATTAGTTTTTTTAATACCAAATTCTCTGTGTTGAATGATTTTCAGACATCCTTAGATCTATTGTCCGAGGGGATGGATTGATTCATGTGTTTCATCTGTCTCATTCGGTGACTCGGGACCAATAAATCTTTGGGTTTTTTTTTTTTTTTTTTTTTTAATTTATTTCTTCTACATTTAGTTTCTTTTTGCAGCCATTAATTAGTCAAAAAAAACTTCCTTTCTTAATCAGCTTTTTTTAGATTATGATAAACTGCGGCAGAAATGAATCCATTTTTTGACCAAAACTTAACTACAGTTTAGTGAACTGCTGAACAAATATTATATTATGAAAACAAATTCCGAAAAATGACGGAAATATTTAAAAAAAGATTGACAAAAAGAAAGATTTGATATAATTTGAAGTTTGCCGAACAATCATATGGGTCTGTTTTCCTCCAAAACTACTTTATTCGTCACAAATCGCAATGGTTCGTATCAAAACAGAGTTTTTAACTTTAACGGCGGTTACAAAACGCTGCTTTTGTCTCAACGACGAGAATTCGCTCAACAGTTTTTACTTTCAAGTACCTCAACTGAGAACAAAAGAGATGAACACAAAAGCTCCGAATTTTTTCATATTAGTTTATACCCAAAAGTTTTTTATGGTTTCCATTTCAAAAGACAAAAGCAACATACACTTATCTCTCTGCATTTCCATGACCACACCAAAATCTCTACATATATGCATTAGATCCCAGGCAGAGAGACCGTCGCAAACGAGTGAATCAAACAAAACTGATTTAGAGGTTCTAGTGTGTGTTTTGGGGAAGCCGAGAACCAGATCACTCCTGCAAAAAACAGCAAAGAGAAGAATCAGCCATTATGTTTACAAGTATAAAGAAGACATTTTTGTTATTCAAAGATCTTTCTCCTACAATCTAAACGCTAATTAAACTGACCTGTTGCTTCTTCTTCTTAGGTCGTCTCTTCCTTTTAGGTTTATGAGCATCAGAATTGGAGCTCAAGTTGCTACTATGACTGCTATATGAAGTTGCGGCAGCAGCTCTGGCATTAAATGAAGTAGACTCGTTTCTTCTGTTTGAAGTGTTTCTTGAGGATGATGGCATCTCATTCCTCTGCACATACGAATTCTTCCTAGAGTTTGATCCACCAAACCTTGCTTGTGGTGGTGGCATTAAAGCCCTAGCAGAGTTTTGCTTCTACAAGATTTCAAAACATTTCAATATTTTGTCCATTCATGAGTCTCACTCATGAGGTTTCAGATTTTTTAAACAGTTTGAAAAATATCAAGAAAACTCGTAGTAATACCTGGTTCCTTTCGTCACTAGACATGCCAGATGTTGCTCTACCAGAAGCACTAGAAGCAGCCTCCCTGAGAGTCAGAGAAATGTTCTTTATTCAGTAAGCTTTCAATTAGAAGTATTGACATCTAACAAAAGAATTAATTCAACATTTTTTAGTAGGCCTACTTTGCGCTTTTATCGGTCAATTCATCATCTGCGTCTGCTTCATCGCTTGAGCTCCCTTTATCGAAGAAATCATCATCACTAAGGTCCAGAAGACCATCATCTTCACTCCCTGTCTCTGTTTGTCCACAACCATAACATCAGACAGTTAACAAAAAACATCATTTATTAGCTATACGATATACTCTTAATGGCTCTACATATAAATGTTCACCTTCTAGCTCTTTCCCACTAGCAGCAGCAACAATAATATTGGCTTTGATCTGTTTCCGCATTTTACTTCTTCTCTCAACCACTTCTGTCTCCTCGGCTCCAGTAAATAGGGATACATACTTCTCATTTTTGGGGAAGAACTGCAAATTGTACATACAAAAAACATACATTTTCAGAACTAAGCTCATTATATTTCATAACAAACAACCATAAGGATGACAAGATAGTAAAAGGAGAAGTTGTTACTTTACCCTAACGTATTCAAGGTCTTCTTTGAGTTTAGTGAGTTGCTCAGCAATCTCTGCATCTCCCACATGAGCAGATGAAGTACGTTGCAGCTTCTCAAGACGCCTAATGCTCCTTTCGATCTTTCTCCGCTCTAATTCAAGAACAAAAAAAAAATTATAACTTACTCTTTGAAACGCTACACAGCCAATAAAAAAACAAGTCAATAATGACTTTTATCTTACCAAAAAACTTAATCTTTCTGTTCCTGAGGAAAATCTTCTTCTCTACAGCAATACGTGTATGGTCGTCTTGCTGCTTCTTCAGATACTCCAACTTCTGTTTTAGAGTCTCTTTTACTTCAGCAGGCAAATCCTACAAAGTCAGTAATCAATACATCAGCAGTTCAGCACTCTTTAGAGACTATTCAATCCTAATTGAGTATAAATATGACTGCTCAATGATCAAATTCTCTATATGAACACAACCCAGAAAAATCAATATAACCCTTAAGCTCTACATAGAACATACACCCGACAAGCTAATTTGAATCGCCAAATTACGGTATCATACTAGAAAAGGTTGGAACTTTAACATAAATTCCATATACCATAAGCATAGAGAGAGAAAAAGGAGCTGACTTTACGAAGAAATCGTTCGACGGAACGCATCTGATTCTTGAGTGAGACAATCTTAGGTTTCTTCTCCACGCGTAATGCTTTCGACCTCCGGCTGCTGCTGCTTCCCGCCGGTTCCGAGACCCTTCTCTTGGAATAACCTCCGTGCGCCATGGCCGAAGGATTTACGAAAGCTTTTTTCAGGAGTTTGAAGGAAAAAGAGTAAACAACAACAGACACAAAAATTAGGGGTTTGTGTTTTTTTCTTCTTCTTTGTTCGGCGTTGGCTTCCTCTTGAAGCGGAGGCCTTGAAAACGCAGCGTTTTGGGATAAACATGGTTGACCTGGGAATTAATTCGGGTCAGCGGGTGGCCGGATCGTACCTGTGGGTCACTAAGCCCACTATTTTCACTTTCCTAGGCTTAAGAGCAAATTTCAGGATACCATGAAATGTGTTATTTTTTGGAGAGTGAAGTCGTGTTTCTGAATTTCGTCTTTTGGAGGAAAAGCGACGAGTCGTTTTGGGACGAAAATTTGATCGGATTCGGCGGGCGCAAATAAAAACTTGTCTCATCCTGCGAATGTTACAAAAGAGGTCAGTCGGACTTTCAGAAGAACCGAAAGGGGGTTTTCTTCATGAAGGTTCTCCAACGCCTAAGTCAATGAATGTCCTACTGGAAATAAATACTTAGGGGGGCATTTCTATGGCTCGGGTGAGAGGTCTCATTCGAGGATCGAGATATCTATCTGTTTACGAGTGTTTCAAATAGGTTCTATGATGTAAAAAGAGGGTTCAGCGAGTATAAAAGCATGATTCCGAGTAAATGAAGGACTTATCTTGATAGGCATCATCTCGAGGGGACTGTGGACTTCCCTTTCGACCATGCTGTTCGGCGGGATGGGCTCGTGATGGGGTCGGAGCTAGATCTTCTCCTTCCTTAGATCGGATTCTAAGGAGGTCTCTCTCCATTACTCTCCCTTTTTCCTTTTTCTCCCTTATGGGGGTCTCATTCCTTTTATACAGGCCTCTCCCGTCCTATCCTCTCTATTCGGCATGCCAGATGAACAGGTGGGCTGGTGGTGCATGTGTGTTTCGGGAAGCTCGCCAACTGTCCGGGAATAATGTTTGGGAGTTGATAGCCGAGCTAGCTAGCCATGTCAGCGTCTAGGATGGTTCGTTGTCCACGTGTCATCCTATCTTTGGAGGTGGTAAAATCAGTTCCAACAGTTGCCTCTGACTTCTCGATTGATTGGAAAATGAGTCGGGGAGTCGACTTCCTTTGGGGTTCCAGCGCAATAAGCATAACTTATCTGGTTCCCTAAGTGTCTCGCCGTTGAAGGCCACGTTAGCGCATCGACTTTGCCGCATATCCCGAAGGGTACAGTACCAGTCTGGGCAAAGCTAAGTTCTTGAAGGGCTATATTCGAACAGGGACTCGCTCGAACCGTGCCACACATTCTGAGGGAGTACATTACTGGTTGGGAGTCGGGACTTCTGAGAGAAGTGAAAAAGGCATCAACTCCAGCCCTGCCACACATCGCGGAGGAGTGCGGTTCTTGCTGGAGGAGCAACGAAAAGAAGGGGTCTTAACTCCGGCTTTATTCGTACGTTTCGGGGGAGCACATTATTGGCCAAAGGAATTGCACTTCGAGGAAGCGAACCGCGAGACGGTTATATAGATATCAACTTTGACCTTATTCGCATCTGGAGGAGTATGTTATTGGTCGGAAGAATTACACTTCCGAGGAAGCGAACCGTGAGATGGTCAGATTAGATAAGTGATAAGGGACTCACCCCGACTTCGCCACGCATCCAGAGGAGTACGCTGTCAGCTGGGGGAGTTAGGCTTCCAGAGAAGATAGATGATTGGGTCCTACCCTGACTGGGGCGCGTATCCCGAGGGAGTACGGTACTTGCTCAGGATATAAGGATATTGGCGCCCCCGAAGGAACTGATAGCTCATCCACGGATGGACATCTTCCCGGAGGAAGTTTACTCCTTGTTTCGTGAGGCACTAGACAAGAAGCCGTTTTGCCCCTTCTCATCGGGGTCATAAGAGAGGTTATTGTCTTATGTGACCATGAGGATCGACATAAGACAGCGGCACGATTTAAAACACCGACCCAAGGGCCAAGGGTGGCAATGTTGGGCGGATGAATAGATGGTCCTTGCATTACAGGGTGCTAACGCAAAGGGGGGGTCGCTACTCGAGTGCAGCTGGTGCAGAGTAGAGCGTTTCCCGAGGGCGTTACGTCGACTCTCTTACTGCCTGGACAGTCTTCACGTTGTGCTTACGCGGAAGTTTCTGAGTTTAAGAACGTGCTTGTGACGTATCCCAGAGGGAAGAAGTCGGCAAAATTATCAGGAAGAGAAAGTCTGCGGGTAGGTGACCTCAATTCTTGTGGTGCCTGAATGGCAAAGAAAGCATGCTAAGAAAGGGGGGTTCTTCAAAGAAAAAAGGCACAAGTTGAAAGATGATGCCCTCGGAGGGCACAAATGCAAGCGAAAGACAGGTGTTGATGGTACGCAAGCGAGAAAGAACATACCGTTATGCAAACAGAGATACACATGATTGTACATGCAAGAAATTTTGCAATCATGCAAGCAGAAAATCAAGCAATCAAGCAAGCAATAAATCCCACAATCACGCAAGTAAGAAATCAAACAATCAAACAATCAAACAAGCAGGATATCAGCCAATCAAGCAAGTAGAAAATCAAACAATTAAGCAGGGTGGTAACGATGTAACCTCGAAGGTCATTTGCAAGTCGAGATTATTTTTGAGATGGCCACGTGTCGTCTACAGTCACGGGTTCCGTATGACCCGCTGCGGGGATCGAGGCGCCCGAGCGATTATGTTTGATCCGTGCACGCGGACTCTATGCAACCCTTCCCTTGGAACATTTCCACTCGCGGGTGGTTGGCGGTTTTTTTGTAAGGGAGCGAGTTTTATACCATTGCGACTGTTTGTCAATCAGTATGTTCACAGCCTCGATATAACTGCTAGTCGTTGCTTGGGCTTTTTCCGGGTGGGGTTTAGGCGTAGGATGAGTGCGATCCACATGGCAAACTCATATGGCTTAGAATGCGGTGAGTCGTGTCACATAGCATGCCTCGCTACTCGCGAACTGCCGGTTGCTTTTTCTGTCGCAATGGGCCATCTGCCTCCCTTTTTATTGAATGTGCGTTACTTTGATCGCACGGCGAAGCCAATAATTATGAGAATGCCGTCGACTTTTAATTTTTCCTGAGCAACGCAATTTCTCTCGCGCATCTATTCGATTTCTTCCTTCTTCTATAAATTCCATGGAATCTTTCGTGGTCTTATTCCATTTCCGAAGCAATCCACATATTTCTTATCTCTTCCTTAAACCTTTTCGCCTCTTATCTCTTTTCTCATTCAATAGAGATGTCATCAGCAAGTTCATCATCTGGCGAGTGGCGTGCACATTTTCGTGTTCTGGCGGTGATGCTGAGACCATGGCCCAAACACCTTCAGCGGACTCCCCCTGCGACCGGCCTCCGTCGGTGTGCACACCGGAATCTCTGGAGAGGTTTTTGAGGGCGAATGACCCTCCTTTTTCTGGCTTTGGCACCATCTCTCCCGGTGTGGGAGACCGAGCGGATCGGCCTCCGCCTCGTTGCTTGGCAATCCACGACGACTACATCTCTTATGGCTTCCGGGACAGCATTCCCCGGATGTTGGTCAACTTATGCCATCTCATCAGCATCTGCCCCTGTCAGCTTCACCCTTCGGTATGGGGGCTTCTTTGTGCTTACCAGGTTCTCTTGGACCTGTCTGGAGTCCGTGTGCGCGGTTCCACGGTTCTGCTGTCTTACCAGCTCCGTAATCTCACTGCCGATGCTCTCCGTTACCCCTTGCATACCAGAGATGGCTGCAAGGCCGAGTGGTTTCCACGCTTTCAGGCTCCATGGTGACATCTGCCTTCGAACAGGCCGAGTTGAACCGGCTGCTCACATTAGAAGAGCGGTTCAGATCATTCGATTTTCTGCTCTTGCCAGTGAGCATCATGGCAAGCTCTTTTATCCTTCCTTCTCGAATGACGCTTAACCCTCCAGATAACAGCTCGAACTCTCTTGTTCTGCTGGTTTTGCAGATGCAGCTTGCTGATCCTGATTAGGCAGGTTGCATGCGCATGCTCGAGGAGGTGTGGGGGCTGACTGCCTCGGAGCTCACCCGCTCGCTGGATGCGGTAAGTTCTTCTTAGGGTTTTTACCTTTCGTTCCTGGAGTGGTTGTCTTACCCGTTTCCTTGTCTTTTGGCGGAGTCAACGCTCGCTCGAGATGTTGGAGCACGAGCTCCACGCGGCAGGGCACCGTGAGCGCGGCCTTGCCGATAGAGGTAGCGAGCTCCAAGCAAAACTGCTCATGACCCATGACTATTTTGCGGAGGCGCAGACTTCCGCCCGGGGGAAAATTTAAGTGCGAAGGGGAGGCGCCTAACGGTGGCATTGGCGGATAACCAATGGGATCTGGAGACCCGCAATTTTGAGGTGCGGACGCTTTGCAAGACCCTCATGGTGTTCCGAGGGTTTACTTCGGGGGCGAGGCTGATGTTGCGCTAATGGCAGTTAAAGTCTTCTTGAATATCCAGACAACGATCGTCTTGGTCATGTGGGAGGTTGAAGAGGAGCGTCGGCGGAACGGATCGCGAGGGACAGATGCAGCGGGGTTAAGAGACGCGGGAGGTGCATGACCTTCTTCACTGGTGGGACCTTCTTGCCTGATAAGCAGTTATGAGCAGTTATTTCACTACCAAGCAAATCCCAACACACTCATGTCATTGCAGTATGTAAGGTATCAATCCATCTGAGGTTGTTAAGGCACCAAGACTATAGCAAATCATCCAAGTCAACCAAGTTTCAAAAATAGCAGTTGTGAACAATACTAACAGGTCTAAAGACTAAACTAAGCAAAGCAGGAAATTCAGATAGATAAAGTAAGGATCTAAGATGGGGGTTATTGATTAAGAGGGGATTAGAACCTAACTAGTGATGCTTCATAACCATTCAAACAATGCTATCTTCTAGGCATAGGATTAACAACTATAACTAGCTTAATTCTTTGACACTAATCACTTTGCTAAGCACACATTCAAGATAAATCCATTTACTCAAACACATGACCATCAAGCATTCAGAACAGAACTCCAATCCTATAAAGCCAAAATGTACCCTAGACATCTAATTCCTTAGGCTAAGCAAACAAATCCTCTAAGAGACTCTAAGCAGCATTTCATCAAACACTTACCAGGCGCAAGAGAAAGCCAAGATACTAAACAAGC